AAGTTATCAAAATTGTGAAGTGTACAATGTTACTGATCGATTGCCTTGTCGTAAAATATGGATCTTATTAGTTGCAACACGAATTGCATCATGTTTTTCATACATGGATCGAAATTCTGTCAGAAGAGCCTCTAGATTATTCAATATTGGATCTCGTTATTCAAGAAAAGATGAAAACCACGATAATGTTGAACCTGAAAGAAGCATACCAATGAATCTAACTTGCAATCCTGGAGTTGGATAGCTTTGGGGTTGAAGTTCAATCACAAGTTATACTTCATTGATAAATCCTCGAAATTTGGATCTGGTGCCATCAAACTTCTCGAGTAGGACAATTCTTGGTTTTCTAACACTAGAAGGGCGTTCCACCATATGAAAAAGGACATGGTTTGGTGCATATGTTGAAGCAGCTCCAACCATTTCTATATCTTCACTTCATGCCAATCTTGTTGCTCCTTGTGGTGGTAAATTGAGTTGATGTATTGTAAGCATTAACTCCCTCAATTGCTCTTGCATTTGTACCATTGCACTCTTCATTTCAACAAGTTCTGCCATGATAACACTTAGAAAAGGGAAGATGTCTAATATTGCTCAAGACAAATAGAAGAGAGGACTTAAAATTAAAGAAAATACTAAGGACAATATCAGTTTAGAAGAGGGTAATCCGTAACTTCTAATATGCTTATATTTTATCAAGAAAAAGGTATAATCCACTCTTAATCAAGATTAGACAAAGCTCTGATATTGTAGGTGTACTCTTGTCAATCTGTCAAGGACAAGAACTCGATGAAAAAGCAATTCAGACAAGTGAGCCTTCACTCAAAGAAAGGTAACATAATATAAATAAATAAGTATGTATATTGAAAGAGAAACTCGAATGGCTATTGCCCAAAAGACAAGAAAACTAGAGACCCTTGAAACTAAACTAGAAGCAAGAAAGGAGTTGACAACAATGAAGAAGGCTTCACTCTTGTCTCTATATATATTATCTAACTAAGGACTATATGGCGATGTTCTATAGGACCTTCAATATGTGTTGACTTTGTAGAAGACATGCCTTGACTTACAAGGTAAGTTTTTCTACGTGTGGGCCACATAGTTAGTTTGATCTTCAAGCTAACAACATGTGAGGCACTTGGCCAACTTATTGACCACATTTCTAATCCAAAAAGTCAATTAAAGACACCTATGAAGTCAAAGCAATGTCTATGAAGCTTCTAAGAAGCTTCCATATTAAATACTATAGAATTAACTTACTTTTACCTACTTTTACTTACTTCCACCTATTTGTATATGTAATTACTAGCTTACATGAGTATGTCCGTGACAAGTATTCACTAAAGTAGTCAACTCATTGTCAACTACCTTCTAATTCCAACCTGTAGGGTAGAGTATTTTAGTGAGTCCAACAACCTATTGTTGACCAAGTTTGACCTCCTTTGATTAGAAATAGGTCAAGGGCTGGTTAAAATGATGTTATGCCATGAGTAATAAATAAATTCATTATATTATATGCATGAACTATCAACATTGGTGGCACTTGGTGATTGGTTGGGATAGAATAATAGCATAATTAGGTGCCACACTTCTTAGTTTTGTAAAAGTTAGATTCTTGGTTTTATAATCCACCATTGGTCAGAATTAGGTTGGATTATATGTTGGAAATGGGTTGAAGATAAACTTTAGCTGAAACATTTGTATAAATTTTGTTTTTGGACCAAATTGTGTGAAAATACTTAGAATCCTTTTGATTTCTATTTTCTTGTATGGAGATTTTTTTATTTTTACACTTACTGCAAATTTATTAAAATGCTTAAATTATAAGAAATGGATTGTCTACCTTAGATGTAAATTTGTCATTGTCTATGAGGTTCAGAATTATTGAGATATTTTGAACTAAATGTGAAGCTTCAGCATATTCTAGATCATTTTTAATATTTTTTAATATTTTAAAAATTGATCTATCAAACACTCAAAAACAAACAAACAAAACACATTCAGTTTGAATAATACATGTCTATTTCCCTACACTCAACAGCCATTAAATAAGTATAACCTCAATCAAGGTCAATTGGCTGTCAGGTTGATACAAGTGTGGACTTTGTTTGTCAGTGCCTGATATAATACTGCTCAATGATGCAACATTGTATGAGTTCAACTCAATGTAATAGTATATGGATTTGCAAGTTGTAAACAATTGTGGGAATCTACCATGTTCAAAGTTGGATGATTATGTTTTAAGAATAGTGTAACTGACCAAGCAAAGTATGGTGAATTGTTATGTATTTTATTTTATTTTATTTTTTCCATTTTGACATCCCTCATCGAAGTAATGAGCAACTTCTCCCAACTTTTATCAATGGCCATTTCTTTTTATACTAAATAGAAGAGGAGGAGGTGGAGCCAATATGATTCCTACCCACCCACAATGCCAACTCATATTTTCTCTTGAATCAAAGGTAAACTTTCTCCTCTCCCACACAAGAACTTCAATTCTACTGGGAAATACTCTGTGGTGCACCCCAGTCACACACAAGATAAATCATCCTCCAGGTCAATGTGTTTAAATCAGTGCATGGTTTCATCAATGAAGTTTGGGTACTTCAATGAGAACTGTAATGCATGTTTCTCCATTATACTTGTTTAAATGGGTTTTGTACAACTCCAGAGATTTATGCATTTTAATGCAAATATGGAAAAATGTATTGATGTGTGTATTCATATATATATATATATATATATATGACTTTTCATGAAACATATGTATAAATATATATATATATATATATATATACATATATCACATTGAAATTGAAATATTAAAACTTAATGCTGAAAATAATCAATTGTAATACACCTTAACAGCTCTTTATCTATTTATTTTATTCATTTTTACACATATGTATATTGGTAGATAAGTAGTATATATAAAAGCATGTATCTTTTAGAGTGACAGCTGTTGTAATTTGAGACAACTTCTTTGGTTCTGAAGTTAAATCTTATTACCAGTATGATTTTTGGCCAATAACAAAAATATGAAAAAAAATCAATGTATTTTAGAAAGCACATTTCAACAAATTTAGACATTGTATCTAAAGTGAGTACTCATTTTAAACTAACACATTACTGAACCTCATAAAAGCATTAAAACACTAAAATCAAACTTCAGGTAATCAAAAATAACTCAACTTCAACATAAAATAAACCTCTTGAAAGTAGATTTCAATCATTTAATGTTAGTAACATTCATAAAATAATAAAATATCAGGAATTAGTAACAAAATATTCCATGCAAAGACAAAATTGACAGTTTGTTCAAGTGAAAATAATCTAATAACCATACCTCACTGAAAAAGCCAAACGTGTATGTGTATATATATATATATATATATATATATTTATCACTATATCTTTACATTAAAAAACAGTGGATAAGTTTGACAAAAATCAATACACCAAATCTCACACTGATGAGGGTTGTGAGCATGCATGGATTATGTGTTCAAAATACTGTTGTGGAGCATTCTTTGCTGCAAAATTCTTGCATTGTGTGCTGCAGATTGTTAACTAAACACACACTTCTGTTTACTCACAGATCTGGAACATCACCAACATCAAACAAACTTTGCCAGCATAGCCACTCAAAACTTCACATTATCCCCTTTCTAGTATGGAGGAAGGATAATAGTTTCAGAGCTGGCTCATGTTCAGCACATTCAACAAGCTGCAATTGAAGGAGTTCTTTCCAAACTGATATAGAATATACAGTTATTCTCAAAAAATTACTACCATGTGGTTTTATATATATATATATATATATATACTTGCTAAAACCAACCCCAATTTTGTTTATGTCACACCCTCTCTTGCCATCTCATGACTCGTTCAATTCCTGTCCTATGTCCTTGTACCTCCATCCTCATTTGCAGCCGTTGTCTCTTCTCATCTCATCTTGTCCCAACTCCCATCTCATGTCATCCCATCCCAACCCCCTTGTCTTAAGTTTATAGTTTTTTGAGTAAATAAAATGATGAATGAGTTGTGCAATATACCAAAAATATTATTGTCCATTAATAATGTTTGTAATAAAAACAACAATGGAAAGATAATAGAGTTAGAAATGATGATAATAATATTAATTTTACCAAGAAATAAATTAAGCACAATCTTAATTTTAACATAAAATCCATTTGTTTTACATTTCAAAACAAAAAAATTAAATGAACCTTTGAAATGTTAATTGTTTTGAAGAACAGCTTAAGTAGGTTAGTCCATTGAAAACTTATATAATGAATCTTCATTATTGTTCTCAATTTTATTGAAGCAACTCTCAATAAAAGAACAAAAGACATTAGATTATTTATATTTATTTTATGAGTTAATACTGTATATAAAATTTTAATATTTAGATTGGAAAACTGTGATTTGATTAGACGAAACTTTTGAAGCTCTATATTAAATACCTTCTTCTCAAGTTTTTGGTTAAACCAATTTTGATTAAATTTTCAACTCCTTGGTAGATCAGTTTTTTTCCTTCTGGTCATAGGGTTTACTACTGACAAAAAATTTATGCGAAAATCTCAAATGTGTGTTATATTTTCCAATCTAAATATTAAATTTTTATATATAGTATTAACTCATGACATACATATAGATAGGGGATGTGAGAGAGGCACTAAAAATCATGAGATTGCAAGGGTGTGTGGCTTTAATAACTCCCTAGTATATATTTTTATGTTTTCCTGAAATGACATCAAATATGATCTAGCTGCAACAATCCAGATGTGTATAGAAAAATCATTTATAAACACTCAGAACATGTTGTGAAAAAGTAGGATGCAGTAGTCAGGTCCTCGCAACTGTGGATTGTATGTGCAGAAATCAGAAAACAGCACGAGCGCCATCAGCACGAAAATCCATGTGCGCAGCCCAGACGAGAATGCATACTCCAAACAAGCACTCAAAACAAAACAAAAAAGAAGGGTTCATCATCTGGGTCATTCGCGGGTCAAGGATGCGAGCCGACACAAAAATGTAGAGGGTCGCACATCTCGTTGTTTAGATACTGTACAAGGTCGTCAACAATATTACAAACCAGGAAGCAAGAGCCTTGTCCCCACACTAATCCTTTGGTTTTAGCATCTAAAAGGGCCGCTGGCATAGTCACATGCCATCCAGTGTATCCTAACTAATCTAACTTTGTTGAAGTATAAGGGATCGATCATTCATAAACAAAAATTACGTAGGATTGTACAAATCACAAAACTGTTAAGCCGTTTACTGGGCTCTCTCGGACCTCTTCTCGCCGACACCGATCCTCGCTAGCCTCCCCCCAGAGATCTTGTTCACTCTCTGCCGTAGCTTCTCCCTGTTGTCGTGAATGCGGCGAAGGCCATTGCCAACGATGACCAGCGAGTACAGAGTGTGTGTGATGATGGGCGCAAGGATATTACCCGTGTGCATCCATTCAAAACCTAGGTACATCGCAAGGAGGCCCTCCATGAGCGGAGAGTAGATTTTCTTCTGTTGGCGCCGCTCATACCACGCCGAGACACGCTCTTTGATGTCGCCTCGGTTATTGCGACCTCGCACCACGGGCGCGACCACGTACTTAGGATCCTTGGGCGATGAGATCACGTAGTACATGGAGCCGGTCAATGCCGCCGTAAGGGCAGTCGCAAAAAATTGTGCAAAGGGAACGAAGAGAGGAATCACTCCAGTTAGAGCCGCAAGACCAACTGTGGAGTCTGTGACGCCCTTATCACTAATTTGAAGCGCATGCGTGAGTCCACCTTGTATCGCGACTCGGAAGAAAAGCTCTTCTGCCACAGCGCCCGCGGCGACGACAAAGGGGAACTGCCATGGTGACATTCCCACAAAGAAATCCATAAGCTCCTCGTCCTCGACGTCTCGAATGGCCCGAGCAGGAGCCCACGACTTCACAACCTCGTCCTCCAGGATGAACAACAGCATCATCATCGGAGGAACGGCGTATCCGAATCCCGTGGTGATCACCTGCGGGGAAATGTCAAATCCACCCCAGAGATCCACGCCGGTGAAGCCGCAAATGACATTCCCAACAAATGCTAGGCCGCCGTACATGGCCAGCGAGTATACAATTCTGAAAATCATGCCTATCTGTTCCCAGCTCGCCTCGGTTTCGCTAGATTGGTTAGATTGCCTGAGATCAACATTCCAGTTGGCGTCAAGCGCTTGCATGTCGCCCGACTTGGACATATCCTTAGCCTTATCCACCATATCCTGTCCTCCTCCGCCAAGCGCCCTGGCGGGCGACACTGACCCGCGTTGTCCTGTTGCGTCATTCAGGCCCATCAGTTTTATTCTTGACACAAATCCTGGCTCCAGTCTCCGCAATCGGGAGCTCCGCGTGAGAGGAGCCAATCCCACCAGGCCATTCCTACCCCCATTTCTGCTCAACGCCCCTCGGAATTGCACCCCACTCCCCGAGGACGACCCACGCGATAATTCGTCTAAACCACTCACACACACAGAGCTAAAATTTCCGCCTCCGTCAAGCTTATCGGAGCCCACTCGGAATGAAGACGACACCCCGATCACCTCCGCATGCAGCAATAACTGCCCTCCCGACGTTGACGCTCCAAACGATCGAACGGGCCTGTCCTGCAACCGCAGCGTACGAAACAACGACATGCTGCAACGAAGCCCAGGCAGCTACAAATCCTTCACCACGCACACTACCACACACACACACACACTCTTCGAAACTACCACGGAATCAATCAAAACATCGCCTTTCGAATACCCATCCGGCTTGATCAATCAAGAAATCAATCAATCAATCAGCCAAACAAGCTCCTCCGCAACGAATCCCCTCACCACTAATCCAACTCAACTCAATCAATCACAATCACAATCTCAATCTCTGACTCGTCCAGTCCACTCCTGAGCGTCGCAACCGACCAGTCCTAAGGGCAAGACACACTCACAGAGAGACAGAGAGAGATAACAGGAAGGAGAGGCAACAATACTCAAGTACACAGCTCACGAGACGTGTGAGCAGTGAGACCTTTATGGCCACACAGCCCAAAAGGATATCGTCTCGCTGCTACCCCTCTCCTCCTCCTTTCCACTGTGGGTGCCCACCGGGAAAGTCATCTCGCTCATAGGCCTCCCCTAAATCCCATCTTGCACCTCACTTGCTGCTGCGGATTGCGCAGCAGGATCAGCAGCATCACCTCTCTCGCCACTCCCATAGCTACACTAGCTAGGCTACTACGTAACCTACCAACCCCACAAAGCAGCGAACCAGGCAGTCAGCCAGCCAAAACCCACCCACTCCAATAAGCCAAACCTCACGCCATATAGAGAGTGAGAGAGATGGGGTGTAGGGCTGCTCCTGTGCCACCACCCACTTGGTGGGCCTTCTTTGCTTGAGCCACCGCCATTACCCTCCTCCTTCCTTCCTTCGTGCCTAATGGAGTTGTTGCAGCCCTTCTGGGTGCAGATTTTCTTTTTTGCCTTCAACCTCGCCCATATTTGGACACCCCATTTTCTTCCCCTTTTTCCCCTGCTTTGTTTGTGTGTGTCTTGTGATCATGGGTGGTTTCTGACACTCTGTTCGTGTGTGTTATTGCGTTTTGTTTTTTGTTTGTTTGTTTGTTTGTTTAATGCAGGTGGAATGCCTTGATTGATCTCCGTGTCAAGTGCGTGTCAGTGTGTGCTTGTTTGCACTGATTTGCATCAGTTTGGTGTTTCTGTTGTAGGAGTTTGTCAGCACATTTACCGTTACACGTTTCTGGTTTTCGGCCCTCTTCTTCTTATTGAGATGTTGATATTGATGTGCAAAGTATTGGGAAGTTAATATTTCGTGTTGTTGGGTTTATTTATGTTTTCTTTAACATCTTTGTATGAATCATGAACTGTTAATATGGTAAAATATGTTAAGATTTGTAATATATGTATATAGATATATATATATATATATATAAGTGTGTGTGTGTGTGTGTGTGTTGTAATTCTTGCTGATTATGTTTTCAGGTTTTAGAAATTTTCATGTTTCACACATATTTCATAGTAATGTCAATTAAGACTACAATTTCATTGACCATTGTTGAACATAGATTTAAGTTTCAACTTTCTAATGATAGCATACTTGAAAGTAGATGCAAAAAAATTACCTGTTTCTAAAACTACTCTACTGTGCCACAACATATTATTTCCTAATCACCTTCAGTGGCAAGGTGTGAACATTTCTCACTAGCATAATTCATTATTGATTAAAGTCCAATTCTGTTCAAAGACAACAACCAATCCAATCAACTCACAAATACGTAAAAGTTATTGAGAAAAGAGCTTCACATTCTTCATCTTCTTTTATACAGTGTCCCCAGCATTAAAATCTGACCTTGAATCAATCCAAGAAAATTGTAGCATGAAATTTTTAAAAAGGTAAAATTAGAAGTGATATACAGAATGGATTTTAATTTTAATTTTTCAGTACAGGTTCTTTGGATAGTTTTTGCAAAAAAAATAATTGTAATATTTAAATCAATCTATAGTTTGTTTTTTCACGTTACAGTATGTTCTGTTCTAATAAATTCAGATATGTTTTACACAATAAAATTTATAGAAAACTCAAATGTACCATAAGGCCTTCAAATGAGACTAAGTAGTTTATTAATGGTAAAAATTACAAAATCAGACATTTACAAAATAATTGAAATCTTATACCTATATTGTAACATGGTATTATATATAAATAGTAAATTATATTACTTTAACAATAATATCTAATATTTAAATATTCTTTTTTCTTACATGTATAGAAGTTTCTATACATTTATTCTACCTAGTCTTTAAAACTATTCCACTGATACGTGCAATGGAAATGAAAATAAATTACATAAGAAATGAAAATGATATAAAAAGGTTTGATGCTCATTACACAATACTTCTACAAATTCATAGCCAGCAATACAAAGGTTTTTAATTGTACACACAAAATGATGCATCAAATGATCTCAGTAAATATATCAATACAGAATGCTTCATATATCATACACAAGTCTGTATACAAAAGCTCTTCTGCTTCACATATTTTAATTTAAGGACAGTGTACTTTTACCCTGAAGGTGTTCAAATTATCAATGTTCTTGCACTACTAATGAATTGAATCCATTCACATGATAATGTGTTGATTTCTACAACTAAACATATATTTTTCATTAAAGTAGCAACTTGCAATTTTGGTACACCTTCAACAAGCTAATTATGATATTAAAATATCAAAATAAATTATGTCATCAAAATAAAAATATATATATCCTTTCATGCACCCATTCAAATAGGATAATTAACACTAGATGTGCATATGAATCTATATATATATATATATATATAAAGAATGCAAACAATCAACACACCAGTACATTAAACTAAACCAACCACTCAAACCAAGCACACAACCACCACAGAGGCATCACAACATGTCATTTGCTTGTAGAAGCACATCCACTTACAAATTGCTCTTCTATTTTTTTTTTTTGTAAGAGACTCCACAAAAGAAGAAAAATTGGGATTGGGTTAGGCTGCAAGTGAGATACCCACATGCCACACCCTTTTAATGGCCACATCAAATTCCTCATCAAAACCCCCCCCCTTCCCCCCCCCACCAAGCATGGATGAGTCAGCAGTGGAAATGGCTGAGGTGGCATTAGGGTACAGCCAGCCATACAATCAGATTCAATAGGGTTGTATGATTTTGTGGGGGTGTTATTTGATTGTGAGGTTTGCTTGCCACCATGGACTATGGCTTCTTCTTCCCCTAGTGTCCCACCCCAGCTCGCATCTGACTTGGCAAAGAATGGCATGAATACAAAATCATATCCACATTCAAAGTTGAGTCAAAGGATCCATCCATTGGGTACATTTTGTTCATGGTTTCTGCCCAAAACCCATTCAGCAAAATTGCTTCACTGAACTTACCCACAAAACTTCATCAATAATAAAAAATAAAATAAAAAAAGTAAAATAAGACTCTTGTTGTGCATTATGGGTGTGTTCATTCATCCTACATTTTTGTCTTTCCCAGTTGGAAGCTTCTGTCAGTTGGCAATTCAACCCACAACAACAAGACACAGCATGGCAAAGCTTGCATTGGTAGGGGGAGAGATATTTGAGGTGGGGGCAAGGAAGATCCCAGCCATGACATGTGGATTGGACAAAAAAACACAACAAAAACAAAAACAAAAAGATAAGAATAAAAATGTAGGTTTTAGGGTTTGGGGGGGGGGGGTGAAAAAAGAGGAGGTCCTTGTGTGGGCATGTGCCAATGAGTATGATTCAACACCTCATCTGGTATACTCTCTTTTGCCTCATAGATGATATTCTCATTTATCCACGATAAGGATGACGCCTTCTATTCATTCGTCCATTCCTCTGCTTCTCTCCCTTTGGCATATTCCATGTGTTGCACAGATTCAATATTGCACCCCACAATGTGAAACAGGTTCGGGGTTTTGTGTTGAGATTTTATTGCGTGGGCTTTGTCATTCGGGATTTGATGTTGGTATTGTAGCCATAGAGAATATGAGAGGTGTTTTTATTGAATCATGAATTATAAGAGTTGACAAATCAAATGTGATTTTTATGCGAATGGAATCGTGTTGTTTATAGATGAGAAAACAACAGTGTTAATGAATAGAAGTGATGATGCAAACAATCCTTTGCAAACTTTGGCTAGTGTTGAGATATTTTCTCTGATGTTGGGTGGCAGTTGAATGAAGAATTTCCAGAGGGATTTTATGAAGAGAAACATTCTCTTCAACACTGCACAAAAATTCTAAACCAGATTTTGAATGGTTGAATATCTGATACAGTTCAAACATTCAAGTTTGGAATAGATCTTTGTGCAAAGCAATCATCACAATTAACATCTGATAAAAGAGTAACTTGAATGGTACATTATCTTTTATTGAACTTCAGATAAAAAAGAGAGAGAGGAAAGAAAAATAAAATAAAATAAAATAAGGGATTTTCGCCAATATGCATAAATTTTACACATAAAAAAACTTGAAACTTACAATTCCGTTTGGCAATCCGTAGTGTTGCCCTGATGTAAAATTTTAGGAATTTAATATTTTCTTTGTAAAGCTGTGTGTTTTTATAAAAACAGTACTTGCTTTGATATTACACTTGAACCAAAATTTATCTTGGTTTATCTATTGGTACAGAAATCTTATGATATGTATATAACAAAACAATACTACAGTCTTTCATGATATTCAATTTTAAATTTTATCATGTTTAATTTAGCAGAAATACAGGCGCCATGCGATTGATTTTGAAAGTTGATAAAACCTTAGATTTAACATTTCAAATAACTGATAGTATCACAATTTGCTTTTGAAACTTTTGCAGAACCCATTCATAGTATGTTTTGTGATTTAAATCAGATAATAATAAAATTAGTACATGAATTAGTATTTTGAAAAACAGGTTGTAGAAATACAAAGTTAATTTGAGAATAATTTAAAAAAGAGGCTCTTTTAAAAATTGATCGTTTACAATTTATGTCAAATATTAACGGTCCACCTGATAATCAGGTGCAATTACTGCGAAATATGTATTCACTGTATCCAGTAAATTTTTAACGAAAAAATACATTCTAAAAAATTGGTTACATTCTCAAAGAACAGTGTCTGTTACCTAATGACTGTAGAACACGTACAAAGAAGTATAACTTCCACATTTAAAATATAAGTTTGTTTATTGTTATTTTATTTTTCAGTACATCCAGTACAATCGCATCGAAGTATGAAATATTAACAGTGAAAAGATTTGTCAAAGAAAACAATATAAAATGAATTCATTTTACTAATTTGATATTGGTTTTACATGATTCAAGACTCTTTTCTAATCCCTTCATCTAAAATTGCGAAAAAACATATCATTACTATGCTATTTTAAATACAATCAATTACGAAACTTTCAGGCAGAATTGAATAAAAAACAATTAGTTCAGTTTCTCTTACAAAATCATCGTCTTATTCTTGATAAATGATAGAAACTAGACTTTGATTCAATGCTTCTATATCATCACCAGAAATCCATGAAGATCGAACTTCACCCTAACTTGATCATATACATATAACAACCATTCAAGATAGATAGTCACAAGGAAGTGTAACTTTTCCCCACCTTAAGCTACACATATTCTGTGCATTAATGATATCTGATAATTCATAACATTCACAGTTGATCTGCAACCGCAGAAGGTTCCACTTCTGTGCAACACTTTCTAAGAATCTATCGCAACTAAACCTAAACGGGCTTCTCCAAGGAAAAATTGTTGCATTGCTTACCCAACGATTTGCACAATATGCTGTAGAGTAAAAGCTAGCTTGTACGGTGTCCAAGCACCATTCCTAAGTACTTGAGCAAACAAGATTAAGATGACGTGGGAGGGGCTACCGCAGCCTGTGCATTGGACAATCGCGACCGACGTGCTCCTTCAGCCCTATCCATGTAGTCAGCATGTGAATCATGCTTCGTACCTGTACACAGACACTACAGTCAGAAACAAGCCTTGATGGAGGACACGAAAAGGTCGAGAGATTTAAGCATGAAAGCTTGGTGTTCACTGATTGACCAAAAAAACATTAAAAAAACACAAAAATCGGAAGGAATTTAGGTTTTGGCATGAACTCAGAAAGCTAGTCAAGGATCTAATGTTTTCTCCCAGAAAATAAACAAGATAAAACCTGGAGCACGACTTGATGACACCCATTCTGGACATTGGAACGTTAAGAACGATTACTTTCGACACTAATCTGAATCTACCCTTGCCAGAGTGCACAGATTTGCCCACTAATTTGAGAATGTTAAGTAAACTTCGAATTGGATCTCCAATACATAGTACAGCTATCGCCAATCACTACATAGCATCGTGATGAGGAACATCGAACGCAATTCATCAATGAACTCTGATTGCAAAAGTGCTAAGTCATTCAACGGGCTAGAGAGAACTTGCTGCATACTAGACTAATTTGCAATGAAAAAAGACACGAAAAGCGAAGATGCTTACATGAACCACATGTTTTAACCCAAACAGGTATGCAATTAGTGAGATCGAATGAACTGCTACAAAGAGGTTTTCAAATTTAAGTAACTGGAAATAAACATAAACCCTCGCAGCACAAACCCCAATCGAAATACAAACCTCCCACATTCCCGTTCTAGACAATGGTACAGAGAATCCAAAATACCTGAGGTGAGAAGCAACCACGGAATGGCGGCGATGGCGCTGATGCCCAACATGCCTAAGAACACATGACGCTTGCTTCCACTCCACAAAATCTCCTGCATCCGTGAGGGAGGGGTCTTCCACCCGGCTGCGCGCTCAGCAGCTGACGCAGCTTCCTGCACGAGCGGCGCTTCCCCATGAGCTGCAACCTGGCTGGTCCCATTCACTACCTTCTCCTGAGGCGGCAACATCTTCACCCTCTCACAACCCGCTAAATCCCACCCAGCCCTTTTCTCTTCACGTCTCAATTCTCCCGATCTTCAAAAACCCTAATCGAGGCAGCACACACCCCAACACACAATCGCACCGAAGCAGGCAAAGTAGAAACGACAAAATGAAATGGCATAAGCGATGGATGCATCTCGGCTTGTCCCCTTCGCCGAAGCCCAGACGTGGAGCTCTGCGAACTCACCACCGTATGAGCAATTTTTCACACAATTTTTTTTCATACGCCCATTAATTGTTTTCCTCACATAATAATATCGCTTCCACCTCATCCACTCCATTACGCCACGTAATAGCCCTCCATAAACAAGGAGTGTTCAGCTTCCTGCCACACACATTCGAAGCATTTCGCAAAAGAAACACAACAACACAAACACTACTGATACATATCCCTCCCAACACATTATATATATATATATAGATATATACTTGTTGAATGTTAAATAGACCCATCCTTACAAAGAATGTGATAATCATGATGAATGTGGCTGGTTTTTATTGGTTGCAGATTCAATAGTGGGAAATGAATCTTTCTTATTTTCATAATGGTTAGGATAAGTGGGTCAATTTAGTAAGAACTTGGGCCTATTTAACATTCCCCTATTATACATAAAGAAGACGAGAAAGTAAATAGGTATTTATTTGACAAGCAGTGTTTCTTGCGAGATTTTCCAACACTAACCCTAAGTTCCGAACCTCCTTTTTCAAACCTCCAATGGAGTTGTTGTAGCTCACTCCTATACAAAAAAAACCAACACCAATGGGAGCCCACTGTAGGCCACGCCCCTATCCGAGGGGGCGCTACAGAAAACGACAAAAGCGGCCTACTCCGGATCGTCGGTGCAGCGGTGTGAACGTGCCTCCGCGAATGACAAATGGACTTTGTCTTAATAGAAATTGGTAACGACCGGTCCACCCGGTGGCTCCACCTTCCCAACCCCAGGGCACAACCAAGCCGTAGATATGGGCCCTAAATCTACGGCAAGGATGAGATATGGAGGGTACTGGACTGTGATATTATAGTCAAGGATGGGTTTCCAACGCGGCTGTATTGGCATATCTACGGCGTTCGTAGACTCTCTGGGGGAAGTCAAGCTAAATGGGAACACATGGAGTTGCCGCCTGGCAGCCAGCTTCACACTGCCCCTCCGCGTTTTCTGACTGCTGCGAGCTTTGCGTCGCTTCTCTGTTTTGCTGCTTGTGTGTATCTTTCTAGGCTTTCTCACTTACACACACACACACACTCTCCTCTCTTTCTCTGTTTGTGAGAGTATTTGCGTCTTTATTGATTGGTTGCTTGCGGTCGGTCTCATTTGGCTTTGCTTTGCTGACCCGCGCACTGTTCGAGTGTTCACTACTATCTCAGGAACTGTTTAGAATAAATTCTCGGTGCGTGTTGGTATAGCAGGTTGCAATGGTGCAGTGAGAGTCCGATCTCGGGGGTGTATGAGGCGGTGAGAGAGGAACTGGCGGGTGTTGTGGTTAGAAGAGAGAGGTGATGAGAATTTGATGTGCGCTGATGAAGTAGTGACATTTTTTTTTTTTTTTTTTTTTTTTTTTTTTTGGGTTAAGGTGTGGTTATTGGTGTAGGGGAGGAGGTGTGAGGGTTGGTTGGTTTTCTCTTTGAGGTGGTTAGGGTGAGTTTAGGAGGATGGGATGTCGGAGAGGGAGAGGGAGAGGGAAGGCGGTGGTGGCTGGGAAGGAGGTGTTGTTGGAGAATGGTTGTATGTGAGGGTGTGAAGCGTGGGAGTTAGAGGTGCTGCTGCGGTGTGAATGTGAAGTGAGAATGTGGTGTTTGGTTGGGTTGGCAGAGGAGGAGATTGTTGGATGAGGTTGTTGGAAGATGTTGCGGGCCGTCGAGCTTCGGCGGTAGATTGAGTGCGCTTTTGGGGTAGGAGAAGGGGTTAGGGCAATCAATTGAAGAGGGCCGGTGAGAGTAGAGCTCTTCCCTGACCAGTAGGTATTACGCGGCTGATCTTTCGTGGCTGTTACGGGATGCTGGTAGGATCCAAGTTGGACTCGGAGATGGCACTGGTAGGGTGTGGGTTTTGAGCATACAGTGGTTGAAGCGGGTCCACCGAGGACGGGTGAAATCTTAGTGGGATTTAGGAAAAGGCATGCGATCATGGCGGCACAAGAATTCTTCATGTTTCAAGATGCCTTTCTGGATTACCGAAGGTTGCAGGAAGCCTCTGACATGTCTGTGTCAAGTACTGGAAGCGTACCGATGAGTATGAGCAATGGTGGAAACTCGGTGTCAATGATGTCGCAAGCGGATAGTAGCGTGGGATCCAACGGCGGTATCTCACTGCACACACGGCTAATGCATCGTGATCTTCACCCTCGGCCGCCGAAGGGAAATGCTTCTGTGGAGAATAGTGTGGTCATGCCAGACATTGTTTCACATACTGTTGGGGAAGACGTGCTAGCTGCTGCTCTCATGGACCCAAGGTTTGTTCAGGTCTTCCGCTCTTCGTATTTTGACCTTCCCGTTTAAAAAAATATTAGTGATGTACAAGGCTTGCACAGGTATCCACTGATTTTTCCAACTTGCGTCAAGCTTAATGTAGCAGCTGCATTTCACCCCCTTTTAAATGCTCAATGAGCTCAGGATTCAATGAGAGAATCATTGGTCTCGATAGAACAGTAAAGGCCATGGTTTTTCCTAATGGTTAATCATATTGCAACAGGTATCAAACAGAAGGTCTGGAAGGATACGATGATTGGACTATTGATTTGAGGCGACTGCAAATGGGCCCTCCTTTTGCACAAGGTGCCTTTGGTCGACTGTACAAAGGAACCTACAATGGAGAAGACGTGGCCGTCAAAATATTGGAGAGACCGGAGAACAATGTCGAGAAAATGATGATGATGGAGTCTGCATTTGCTAAGGAGGTGACCATGCTCGCAGCTGTGAAGCATCAGAATGTGGTACGGTTCATCGGAGCTTGTCGTAAACCCATGGTATGGTGCATAGTCACAGAGTATGCAAGAGGAGGATCAGTGCGCTCATTTTTGAGTAAACGGCAATCACGAGCAGTGCCTCTAAAGCTCGCAGTGAAACAAGCTCTGGATGTCGCCAGGGGCATGGAGTACTTGCATAGTCTCGAGATCATTCACAGAGATTTGAAGTCGGACAATCTGCTCATCGCAACGGACAAATCAATTAAGATTGCAGATTTTGGTGCTGCTAGGATAGAAGTGCAAGTTGAGGGCATGACTCCAGAAACGGGAACCTATCGATGGATGGCTCCGTGAGTATCTAACTGTTGACGTTTGTGTTTTGTATTCTTTTTTGTTTTCCCTCACGCTGGTACATGTTTTTTTTTCTGTGTGAATGATCATATCAATCTACCTGCCATTCCCTTCTATCTCAAAATGTTTGGTCTCTACGTACAGCTCCTTTTTGCTCTATTCAAGGTTAAACGACAATTTATTTGCATCTTGTTATCGCATCGACGGTGTGTGTTTGTCATCTACTTCAGTACACTAGCTTTTTGTAGTTGAATTGGCATAGATATGGTTCACTGTCAAACAGCTGATTCAGGTGTTGTGTTTTGGGCATCTTTAGAGGTTCAGGTTCAAATGTTCGATTCATTGCATATTAGTGAGAGCTAAGTTGGACCTTGGAACTGCAGGGAGATGATCCAGCACAAACCTTACAATCACAAAGTGGACGTCTACAGCTTTGGTGTGGTCTTATGGGAGCTTGTGACAGGCCTGTTGCCCTTTCAAAATATGTCTGCAGTGCAAGCTGCTTTTGCAGTGGTTAATCGCGGTGTCAGACCCCCAATACCTGATACTTGTCCTCCAAATATTGCTGAGATCATGAGTCGGTGTTGGGATGCCAATCCTGATGTCCGTCCTAGCTTTGCGCAGGTAGTTAAGATGCTGGAGCAAGCTCAGAATGAATTATTAACCAAAGTTGGGCGTGCTCGATTCCGTTGTCTTTGCTTGAACCGACCTCTAACAAGTGAGTGAAGGTTTCTTGGATTAGCTTATTAAAGAGCTTATATTTGAGCTAAGCTGGACCTAGGTGGATGCTAGAGAAGATTATTGAAGAACACGGGACGGGTGTTCAATCTGTATATTGCATCGTCGTGTTTCATAGAGGAGGTTTGAAGAAGTCTCTAGTGCTTTCTTTGCACATATAGTGTCTTACAGACAAGTAGGGGTCTTATAGATATACTCAGGAAAAGAGCAATGCCAGTGTAATCTATTTCCTCCCTTGTAAGAGGTATTTGAGGGATTAAGGAACATGGTTAGTTCCAAGGCAAGGTTAACACCTTGAGGGGGTGAAAATTTTCCCCGTTTAGATCCGTAGGGTTGATCTACTTGTTTAGAAAACTGTCTATCTCCTGATTAGCAGATGTTGAGAAGGCGGTGACACTGCACTGCACTGCTTTCTTTTCTGAGCGTTTCTATATTGTAGAAGCATTTATGGTTCTCCCCGAGAACATTTCAATGTATTGGTTAGTCTTGCTTTTCCCTGTAATACACACCTTTCTGAATTGCACTTGTTTAATGTTACTCAATTTATATGACTTTGGTACACACCTCCTGAGTCAGGAGAAGGCTTGGTATCTTACTCTAATGTACTTACTTCTCATGTGTCGAGTAAAATTCGTGAGATCCCGTTTTGTCTCATTTCTAGAGAATCCTTTTTTAAATCTAGATACAAATACTTGTAATTATGAATTACAACCTACTCTCGATCTCTTGCTCGAGCGTCTATTCATAGAGTAGGATGCAGAATGTTTCATTAACATGATTTACACCCACGTCGCAGCTGCAGGATAGGTCGTAGCTGGGGCTCGCATTGTGCGTGTGAACAATTAGTAACCCAATTTTGTCCATAGCTCGCCTGGCTTCCTGTAATCATTGACGAAGCTAAAATCAGCAAAATGATGTTTTCTCTTACGCATCTTGTGGGATAGAGTTGGATTGTCAGTCACTTGAATTGTGATCCAAGATTAGAAGTATGCTTTCAGGTTCGAGGGTGATTCTGAATTGCTTTGAATTGAGGTGGTTATTCTGGGATTTCGCATCTGAACATGCAGCTAGATGGCGAGCTCACTTGCTCGCCATTGAAGATTTCATGTAGCTTGCGACTTCTTGCTTCCGTGCCCATGCCTTCGACTGAACTGATTTTTCGTCTTTTGACACCCTATGCTGTAATATATATATATATATATATATATATTCTTCCTGCTGTGGAGTTCATTGCAGGGTTCGCTGCTAGGAAAATTGTTGTAAATTCCGTCCGTGCGCATGCGTTTTTGTTAGGAATACGCCTGCATGGGCTGCAGAAGCTGGGTTGGCGAAGACCATGTCCTTTGGCAGTGTCAATAACCAATATCAGCAATTATTATTACAAACTAATGATGTTATGCCCCTTTGCCAAGTGCTCACGATCTTCAATGAGATCATTTATCTAGGGTAGTCTTGTGCGTGTTGAGGAACTCTCATCCACAATGCATCATTTTGCAACTGAATGTGTTAGTTTCTATTCAGACTTTTCAGAGGTAGCAGGCCTTGTTTCTTCTGGGTGAGCGTGATTGGGCACAGCTTTGATAGCCCAGTATGCCGGAGAGTGTCGTGCGATTTTTGCAAAAAACATAGATTTTAACACCTGCAAAAATTGCAACAATAGTGGGACATTTGCTTCTTACTGAGTTAGAGGCGATGAGTAAATAGGAGTTGGAATAGGAACTTGCAACACATCTTCGTTCACGTGTTCCTAGTGGTGTTAGCAATGAATTTAGATGAATGTTCAGACCAGATGAATTTTGTAAATACAATTTCCACCTCAAAATTCCAGCAGCGTGTAGTTTTAGCGCAACTTTTGATTTACGTTTGTGAGCGAGTTCGGATGGTTTGTCTGAAATCCAGAGGAATCAAATCCAAAATCCCACAGGCAAATCCAAAATTCCACACTAAACCTCCAGGTTTCACCTACTTGAGCCTACGCTAGACCTCAAAACGTCATGATGTGTTGTTTCTGCATCAATGTCGAGAAGCCAAGACAGATGGAGGTAATGTGCATTTGCTCCCAAAAACTTCAATGCATAGAAAATTGTGGCGACCAAGTAGAAAATGGAAGACGCGTAAAAATCTCAGTACGAATGAGGCTCATTTTGGGGCCAACACTCCTTTTAGGGCTTTGGAGATTGACGCCCCCCCACTTCCTGGACCTCGTCAATTATATCTCCCCATTGGTTACCAAGTTCAGAGTCTACAGTGTCTGAGAATTTTAGGAAAGGACTGCCATGTGAATTTGGATAGCTGCATTCTAAAGGTCTGGAGAGGAAGAATGGCTGAAGAAGCACACGCAAAAATTCATTTCAACTGTTAGGTTACTGTGATCTTACTCTCAGCTTGCTTGTTGGATGGCAAACACTGGCCACTGACAAGCCATTGACATGTTTCGTTCTGGCATTATGGGATTATCCTGTTCACAAATCATTGTATGGGAGTTTAACGGCACGTTACCAGTAAACTAAAATGTTAACCGACTCGCACCAGGTCCACCCTGCGCAGTAATCTTCCAACACCTTCGCTGTCAGACTTCAAATCGATAGATTATGTTACCCCCAGTTTATAATTCATGCATCTTTAAATCCCCTCCCAGCATATCTCGGGAACGGACTTGGAAAAATTTGCAAGAGACTGATTCGTCGGCCTCCTGAATTTTAAATCATGTGTGGTAAAACAACACCCTCATCTTACAGCTTGAAAGCGAAGCACTTTCCAGATACAACTGATTCTGAACCCCAACTGCCTGTCAATGCTCTTGTAACAAGTGCGTGCATCACCAGGAAAAGAAGAAAAGTGAATATCGTTCTGAAATTTCGGTAGGTCCCCCAAAAAATATCACTTCAGAAATACACCTGGTTACAATGTATGATTCTTTAGAAAGTACACTAAAATCAACGGTTTTGGAACTCCTAAAAGAGTCCAAATATCTTAAGGTGCTTTAACTGTTAGTACGTACAGTATTAAATACAGCTTAAGAATAACTAGAGACTGCAAACTTGCTATAGTCTCTGTAATATTAAGGGCTATATAGGTTAGAAACTGGGCACCAGTCTCCAATGATTTCATATATACACAGTAGTAGATTACCTATATTCATATTCACGTGTTGATGAGACCACATCTTAAGAACATCAAAGGACCTAATTCTCACTTTCATTCTAAGAAACAATAGTCTGATATTGAGGTAAGAATACTTTGAAATATCTATGAGATTCAAAGACTTACACCCTGGCAGTCAGTGCCCACACACATTGGTATTTTACACCATCCACTTTGGCATTTTAGACGTAAACCACCAATTCCGAATCCAATATGGGCAGTAGTAAAGGATGCGGTAAATGCGAGACAGGTAGCCGTAGGTATAACACATGGGGGAAGGTCTTGCTAGAATAGCTGCTGCTGCCTTTTTTGCGAAAAGAGGAGCTGGGGTTGACTTCGGATGATGAGCAAGTTTTGTCCTTTCTAGCAAATAGGCTTCGTAAGGTTTGAATATTTGCAATTCACTTGAATAGCTCCTCACAACTTCTGCTCCTTTAGGTCCAATACCAGTGTGGACCGCCCCAGGAACAAGAAGCATGACGTCAATGTTAAATGGTTTCAACTCCAACCTGCAAATACAAAGACATTCATAAGAACTCCAACCTTAATACAATGAAGAGGTTCAGCTCAAAGGAAGCTGCACAACCTTTCAGCAGTCTATATATGCCACAATGTTTTCTGCATTGCATGCCATGCTGCACAGGGTTCATTTGAATCCCACAGCAATCTGTACTGTGGACAGCTTTCCATCGCAGCTTCACGATTTTTTCGTTCTATTTCATCCATTCTTCAATCTATTTCATTCCATTTCGTACCTCAGAGCATCAGTACTGCATTGTAAAGCCGCCTTCGAAGCGCTGTAAGGTCCAGTGAAAGGACCAGCTGCAAAACTGACAATGCTGCCTACATTCACAATCTTGCCCTTCCCTTTTTTCACCATGTGTGGTACAACAGATTGAATCAGCATAACAGGACCTGTACAAATAGAGGTAATCGATTTTTACAAAAAGCCATGGTAAGAAAGAACACACGTTGGAATTGTGGATCCACACTAGTTGTAATCGCTTGCAAAGCATGTAAAGTTCAAAAGGCAATTGCCAGTCCGTAAGACGTAGAAACTTCTGCATGCCGGATCAAACCTGAGTCCTCTCACCTATGAACAAAAAGGACACGAAAGACTGTGGTACTACTAAAAAATTTACATCTCCAAATTTCCAGTCACGATTCCAAAAGTTTGAAACGAATCCTCTCAAACCCACATTCATCATTCAAATTTTCTCCGCAATTGCCTTAAAATTCCAGACCTGCAGACCTGAAGAAAAACTCCACTTCAAAAGCACACCTCAATCTGAGAGACACACAGACAATTGGAGGGGGCAATTCTACCAAGGAAGTTGGTTCTGTAAACTTTGTCCAAAATTTCTGTAGGAACCTCAGCCAGAGGAGCCGTGCAAGGCATTGCAGCATTGTTGATGAGGATATCGATTCGACCATACGTAGCCATGACGAATTTCACCGCCTCCTCGATACTGTTCTTCGAAAGGAGATCAAGCGCCACCGTTTCAATACGCTGATGACCCGCGAACGATGTCATGGTGTTTAGCGATCTCGACGTGGCAACCACAGTAAATCCCATGTCCCAGAACTCAAACGCAAGCGCAGCGCCAATCCCCTCATCAGAACAGCCCGTGATGAGCACCACCTCGTCTCGCCTCGCCGGCGACGCTAGCCCGCCTCCCATCCCCACACGCTGCCAACAGTCCTTCCACAGCCTCAAAGCTTATCCCACTTCCCCCCCGAACCGCACAATTCTTGCCCCTATGATCCCTACCAGCAATTAACAACAAAGTGACACACCCCTAGGACTAATTCCCAAGACGCATTGCTCTACAACACTCCTGGTGAAGTAATCCCTCATGATCGATCGTGCCACAACTACAGTGGTCGCATTTGACCAAACGATTCCTCATAAACCAAGAGACGCACCGATCAGCTACAGGCCTCCCCCGAATCAACACAACAATGACAATTCGCCACGGATTCTCAAGATCAGGGGCTTGAATTGAAGCGCATCGCACACAAAGGGGAAGGAGATGAAATTAAAGTACTAGTGAAGGCGAATTGGGCAGTGGCAGTGAGAGAGAGCAGTGTCGGAGGCGGCACTATGCAGACGCTGAAGACCGGGGCAGTTGGGTCAGCGTCGCCTGGGGGGTCCGGCTCTCGAGACCGCCTCCGACATGGCGGGCCGCCGCCTATTTTTAAATCAAAAAATGGTAATCTAATAATAGACAACTGAAAGAGACACTTGCTGATCATTTAACTGCGTGATGGTGACCTCCCTCTGCAAATTATTCTGTAATATCATACCGAAACATGCAAATTTAAAAAGAAAAAGAAAAAGATAAGGTATCTACGACAGAAAAAAGAAGTAAACGAAGTAGGCGTGGAAAAAGTGTGTGAAGGAAGAAAAAGGTGTATGCAGTGTGTTCGATGAAAGCGTTCCTTTGAGGATTCTTGTCTACCCATGTAGAAGTAAAGAGTAGCAATTCGAGAACATTATTTAGATAAATCTTATATTGATTTGTATGGAGGGCTAGTTATGAATCAAGAACAAAACCAGACCTTGAGGCACAAAACTGCATACCTACAATAGATGGGACTCTCTTTTGCTCATTGGAGTGTGGATTATGATAACAAACTTGATAAGATTTCTATGAGAATTGGTTTTAAGGGATTTTAGTGCATATTGACTTTGTGAAAGCTTTGCAAAGTTAGAATAGTTTTGGATGACTTTGTTTTGTGTTTTATATATATATATATATATATATACTTTGGTAAATTATGCACGTTTGAAAATAATTATATGGATGAAATTTGGTGGATTTGTAAATATATTTGTATTAATTATATGTTGTAAATTTGAGCTCAATTGGGTAGTTGGATCAAACATAAGTAAGATCTAAGTGAGCTAGGATTTCAAAAATTAGATTTTGAAGGTCAATGAGGATTTTTAGATTATGAGCAATGTGCAAGTATTATTGGAATAACTTTATCTTATCTACAAACAAATATATAACTAATTTATTTAAACTCTTGCAAATCTTAAAACAAAATTAACAATTTAAGAACAAAATATTGAAACTAAAAGTTTTGCTTTGAGATAGAAAAGAGAGATAGCCAACACCCAAGTGGACTATGAGCATTTTCTTTCAATATATAAGTTAGATCTTCTTTAAACTTTGTCTGCTTGTTTTCAATTATAAAATTGAATTGTGTGAAAAAATTGAAAAAAGATCAATAATTAATGTAATAGTTATTGAAGTTTTAAATTTACTTTGGTGTTTATTTAAGATTTTACTAGGATTTGTTAGAGTTTACTTAAGGTTTTATTATGATTTTTAGAGTTTTTTTAGAATTCTATAAAGCTTTAAATATGACTTGATTAGAATTCTATTAGATTTTGGTTATGATTTAGTTAGAGTTTCTGGTAATTTCTTTAGGATTTTTGAATAATATTTTTACTATTTGTTGTGATTTTTTTTAGATTTTTTAGATTTTTATTCCTTTAAGATTTAATTATGATTTTTTTTTTGGTATTTTTTAATGTTCATTTGAGTTGAATACAATGTGATAAGATTGTTTAAGTTGTTTAAGTTGTTTAAGATTGTCTAGGTATTTCTAAACACCTTATGCATTGTTTTTTTTCGATTGTAAATCCAACTTCAAGGTAAGATCATGTCCAATGCATTGCTAGATTAATTTTCACATAATACAATAGCGTGCATGTTTGTGAAAACTTAAAAACAACAATTTTGGATTTAAGTAATATTAGTTCTTGCAATTATAATCCTTTAGTTATGAAAAACATATTAGTGTAAGATATTTTAGAATTTTGTTTATTTTTTTTTTTTCATCAATTAGTGTTGGATTGGGAATTGAAAGTCACATTTCATTATGTATGTGTGTGCATATTCATATCTATGTATCACTCTATATATATATATGTGTGTATGTGTGTGTATGTGTGTGTCCACATTTTTACAATATTTCAATTATATACATATATGTTCTTTCTTAATTGGTATTGTAGAAAATTTTATAATTTTATAAAATATGTTGATGAATTAGTTCATCTAACAAGGAATATTTTGGATAAGTACAATGTTTTATCTTAATCTGATAGAATCCTGTTGTAATATTTTATTCTCAACTTCTGAATAATTATTAGTTTATATGTTTTTTTAAATTAAAATATAATTTGTATGTGTTTTTTTTCAAATTATTCTTGTTATCAACTACAAGATGCAGCATTGATTAATATATAATACCTAACATCTAGAGAAAAACACCAAACACTGTACATAACACACTCATGGTTCAGCAGCAGCAAGTCACCTAAAAGACATTAGTAAGTGGCATATATGCAGTTGGAGTTTTAAAAAATTACAAAAAAGGTACAGACTTCCACATTTCTAAATAAAGTATTCATTTGTTTATTTATCTTCATGTGCTTCTCTTTTGCTATAGTCCACTTTGAAATTTCATGGCTTTTCAAAGTGGACTTTTAGGTATAAAGACCCCTTGAAGGCTCATTTATTTTATTTTTTAATATTTTTTAAAATTAGGAGTGTATAATTAATTTGGTTGCAATATGACTAGATTTATAATGTACTTTCGAGGCTATAATTTATAATTGCAAGTGTGTTGAAAGCACCTCGTTACATAAACAAAATCGCATAGAAAAAAGCCTTTAATCATACAATATACAGAACGTGAAAATTTTCCAATCCCAATGATGTTAACAATGAAAAATTTTAGAGAAAAAATAAATACTCAGATTGGCTGGTTTTATATTTGTCATAGGCCAATTACATTACTTATAGTGCAATTGTAAAATTTGTTGTAGAAATAAAAAAAATGCATACAATTTGCTTTTTGATGAAACCCTCATTCAAATGGGGTGCTTTTCCTTGAGACAATATTCATATACAGTGACAAACAAAACCGAGTACAAAATCTGAACACTCATAGTTCATTGATCCTTCCAACTGACACATAAGTCAATTGATAGAATTACTTTTTTATTGTGTGTATTCATTCAGTCCTCTACATGGATGAAAAATCTCATTATCATTTGAGGTAGGGTTTATGAGAAAAGTGTTGTAGAAGCACACAGATGTGCGTACTCAGTTTTGGTTGCTTTTTCTTGCTGAATTTCGAAATTTCAATGTACACTCCTTGTTGCAAGATTTGAGGGCATTTTTTGTTTGTTGTGTTGCTCTTGTTGTGTACTATCTATAATGAAAGTTGATTTGTCAATTGTATCTCTATGCCTCAGTTGTGTGAATCATTGAAGCACCAAGCATTGGTGCAGCTTAGGAGTGGTGTTTCTACAAGAAAAGTTACAGACTCACTTGGAATGAGTTAGTCTTTAGTAGCTCATCTGAGGAGGGAGATTAGTGGTGAAATAGAAAAGCAAAGAGGAGGACGTCCAAAGGTTTTAGGAGAGCAAGAGAAGCGACTTGGTGTGCACCTTATCACTGCTGGTTGTCTCAAAACGGCAAGTGCAGTTGCAAAACAACTTCGAGAAAAAACAGGTAAACACTTCTCAGACATCACCTTGAGGCGTGGTTTGAGAGAAGCTGGTTTGGGTGCTTGTGTGCAACAAAAGAAGCCTCTACTTGCCGAAAGACATGTTCTTGCAAGGTTGAGTTTTGTTCATAAATACAAAAATTGGACTGTTGATGATTGGAGACGGGTTATTTTCAGTGATGAGACAAAGATTAACCTAATCAACTCAGATGGTAGGTCTTGGTGTTGGTTGAGAGAAGGAGAACGACCTGGAGCTAAATATGTTAGTCAAACTGTCAAACATGGTGGTGGTTCAATTATGATTTGGGGTTGTATGACTGCTTTTGGGCCGAGTGCTTGGTATCAAATTGAAGGTAGAATGGAGCAACACTTGTACAAAAAAATTTTAGAAACCTACTTGCAAAGTACCACACAGAATTACAACTTAGATCCTACTAAGGTGGTTTTTCAACATGATAATGATCCCAAACATACGGCAAAAAGTGTTCAGTTTTGGCTCTCTTCACAGCCATTTCAGCTCCTTCGATGGCCAGCTCAATCTCCAAATTTGAATCCAATGGAACATTTTTGGGCCCTTCTCAAACAACGTTTAAGCCAAGTCACTCCAAGGCCAAGAGGTGTTCAAGAATTGTGGGAGAATGTTTGTAGTATTTACCCTAGTTTTGATGCAAAAGATTGTGAGAAACTATACAAAAGTATGCCAAGAAGGATTTCAGCTGTTTTGGAAGCAAAAGGTTATTGGACTAAATATTGAAGTTTGAAGATTTTCTTTGAACAATACTGAGTACAAGACATAGTTGTTGATTTGACTTTGTAGAAGGATGTTTAGTTATCAATTTGATGTGCAACTTTGTACATGTGTACAAGACTATGTGTATTATTCCATGTAACTTTCAGATTTATAAAGCAATCATTGAAATTTCTGTAATTGCTCTTGAAAGTTGGCACTTCAGATTTTGTACTCGGTTTTGTTTGTCACTGTACAACTAAAAGGTATAAAGCAGGTGGCCACGAGAAATGGGAAGTGAGCAGTAATTTCCCCTACAGCCACGGGGACGTGACTTATTACCCCGACCGCTTAATCCGGTTGGACGACGTGGCAAGCCATCTGGCAGCATCCAATCACGACCTACGTTTTCCGGTAATTAAACTGACAGGTGGCACTCAACCATTGTACTGTAAGAAACTTCTTTCCCAAGCCAATGGACAAGTACAGCAAACCAACGCGCTAACCCCGTTCTCCACTTTATTACTCTCACCCACGTCAGTAAATGCGGTTTTAACCCCTCACTAATGCGTACTTTTCTCCGTTTTAGTGAGTATTGTAACTAATTCTCCGTGATGGAGCTCGCGATTAGTGACTCAATCACGCCACCGTCATTTTTGGCCCGGCGAGTGTACAAGAAGAAGAAGAGGAGGAGGATGCGAGGGAACTGTTGTGTGGCCAGATTGGAGCGGAATCGATTCGGGAGGTTTGAAGTTCGTGGCGATGGCTCAGTTTGTGAAGTCCATGGGCGTGGTGCTACTGTTGGTTGTCTCTTTGGCGGTGGTGGCTAGCGCTGCCCCTCCAAGACCTAGCGATTGGAAGCTTTGTGGTGAGTTTTTAGAGCTCTCTCACAGTGGTGTTGGGTCTACCGGATTTGACCTCCTCCGAGGGGTTGGTTGACAGGGTTAGAAGTCAATGTAATTTACTGGTCCTTTCTGTGGTGGGTTCTCGTTTTGGAGTGGTTTGGGGCTGTGTGTTTGGACGTGGTTGTGGAAGTGATTCTGTGTGTCGAGGAGAGATGAATCGGTGAGTTTGTCGTAGCTGAATTGGTAGAATTTAGGGCGTTTTTTTATTTTGTGGCTTCCTGTTTTCTAACGGCCACGTTTCGTTTTACTTGCTTTTCCCAGAATGTGTAAAGAAGTTCCATGTATGTTTGACACTAAATTGTTGTGTTTGCTGCTTTCAAATGTGTGTTACTTGGTCTCTATTGGAGAGATTGATGAGGTACTAACTGGTGGGAAGTAACTGACGAGGATAGAGATAGCAATGTGCATTTATCTGTTGAAAAAATTATGGGTTTACTGAATGTGGTTCTTTGAGGTGGCTGTTTGGGCTCAATTATGTACATGGTTGTGTGATTAGTTGATTTAAAGATCATTGCTTGGTTTGGTGAACGTGGCGGTGTACAATTTTCTGAAGGTTCCTGTGTCTCATTTCTGTGCTGTAATGAGTGATGTTGGTTCCGCCATATTGCTGTTTGTTGTTCTGTCTCGCAAGGGTCAATTGATGAACATGTTTATGATGGCTTCATTGATAGGTTCTTCGTGTTGCTGGAATCGTCTTTAATTTCTAAATATATTCATGAAATGTGAGTTCAGTGGCGTACGACACATATTGTGATTAAGTTTTGTACTGAGGACGTAGACAAATATTGGTTATGGTTATTATCGTCTTTCTTTGCAACTCTTCATTTTCGCACACCCTTTTACGTCGTCACATTACGTGTACCTCATCTGTTCGCCTTGTGTATTGCGGTTCAATTTTCTTAAGCTGACTATCGTTTGATTGGGGAATTTTGGTGTGCAGATTCCCATGCTAATTATGACGTAGTGTTGAAAAATGTCTCGGTTAGTCCTGACCCTGTTATCAGTGGAGAAGATGTTACTTTCATCGTCCCTGCATACACGAGTAAGTAATTCTTTGTGAATGCTCTACTTAATTTATTTGAAGTGCCTTGGATATCTTCTTAGCTTAGGTATTTTATTCCGTGTTATACAATGTTGAACCTTTCTTTTCTCCCGTGTTAGTGCTCTCTCTCAATTATCTGCGGAAATATTCTTACCTTCTGTGGTGAATTTCTGAAACTTGCAGAGAAGGACATAACCAAGGGAAGTGTGGTTGTGAGTGTCTCATTTCATGGCATTACTGTTCACACGGAAAGGAGCGACATCTGCAGCAAGGCGCGTTGCCCAATTCCACCCGGAGAGTTCGTGTTGGAAAACACTGAAATTCTTCCGGGCTTCACACCACCGGTAAGTATTATGATGTTTCGAAGAATGTCATTTTAGTCTGACGCTCTCAGCATTGAATTCATTGTGAATTTCAATTGCGTGTCTTCCAATCCTTTGCTGCGATGCAGCGGGTAGATATTAGCGAACAACCTTACATCAGTGCTTGGATTCTTATTGAAGGAGTCTTATTTCATCGTCAGTAATTAGATAGACGTTCTTGTTCAACAGTGTGTGAGCAACGTGTAAGATTGTTCCGGGAATAGTTTAGTAATAACCTGAGTTAGCAAACCAGGATCTTCTTACGCTGTGTTTATCTTCATTTTTTTTGCAGGGGAGCTATAAAATAAAGCTTCAGTTTGTGGATGAGAGTGATAAACAATTGGCGTGTGCTGACATTAATTTCAGCATTGTCTGGAGCCAGACAATTTCTGAAACACTTGAGAGCTTGAACCCGATTAAAATGCACAAGAATCCAGTTAAAATGCAGGCACCTGTGGCACATACTTAGATGCACCTTTGGATAGGTTGTAGACGATGTTCCTGCCACTGTTTGGCTAAACATGTAATTTGCATTAGAATGCAATCCTTGTAGAATCTGCTGGAGACAAACGTAAGATTTGCCCAAATGTAGTTCAGTGAATATTTGAAAACGTTCATGTTCGATCTTTGATGAGGTCTATATTGACGAGAATTGTTGTGCCTTGCGTATCATGCGGAACATGAAAGCTTGTACTGCAATGCAATACATCTGTTATTTATTACTATGATAGCAAAGTACATTCCTTGAGCAATTCTCTAGTGTTGATGGAGCTTTGATGAAATACATCACCTTGCAATTCCATAGTCTTTGTGCAGTTCTAGTATAGATACGCTGGTCGTGTGCAAGTCTTACATTCTATCCCTGGAGAACATTGTCGGTTTTATCTCCAAGGCAACGGAACCAATGTTCTCCATCTTTTCATTAAATACATCAAACGAATTCTTTGAAAGTTTAATTCTATCATCTGTTGCAGAACGATCTTCAATACTACCATACCAATGTGCACTATATTTCTACACTTTGAACGTTAAAGATAGGCAATACTATGTTTCACGATTGATTTGGTCTGAAACTAGTATTGGTCACAATCATTAAAGACCTTGCATTTATCACCCCTTTTTTGGGAAACTTTACTTAATGAATTAGCCACTTATTTCTTAGCCACGACATGCTAAGCATTTCAATATTTTTGTTCTTAAATTATTTGCATTCTCAAAAATCTTAATTATGTATAATTTTTCAGTTTCTAAAATAGATGAAGTGAACCATAGTTCACTTCAATTCACATCTTTTTTATAAGAAGAAGCACTGGTTTCAGTGAAGAAACAAATGATAAAGAGATTAGTTTTTATATATATATATATATATATATTTATATGGAGAGAAAAAAAAAAAAAAAAAAAAAAAAACACACTCATACACACACACAAACATATACAAACACATATAAGTGCATACATTGAGTATAGCATATTTTTGAAGGTTGAAGCTCTCCATGTGGCCAAAGGGCGAGGTGAGGATGAACAGTTTTCATGATGGATGAATAATCTACACCATTCATCCAATCGTGTCGGTGGATCTCCATTCTAGCTAGAGAATTGACAAAGGTGCTGATGACACGGCAGTTGCGTGTGCAGATTGAAGCTTCTGCCATCTTTAGATTGCCGTCTATGGTTTTCTGTGTACTTTCCGTGGCATAGTGAATGTGGAGTTCTATCTTGCCTGCACTTTTGGGCTTGAAGCTTGCAGCATTTGGGACAATGACGGCATCTTTCACCACCGGAATGCAGCACACAGATTCCAAAATACATGGTTTAGTTCACATTTGAGTGGTGTGCCCATACACAGAATCAAACTTGATTGATTTCGCTCTGGGAGCAGGTGGATAGACGAGCCTCCATGGAACTTACCATGGATTCGAATCGAACTGTGCTACACATAGATCGTGGTTTTAGAAGAGCCTTTTTCCTTGCAGCCTTGCTGCAGAGAGGAGATGATGGTGGCTGGGGTGCCTGCATGATATCATTCCTAGAAGAGGCTTCCTTACAGCTGAGTTTGTGACAGATCTAGGGAATATTTCTTCAATCACACACACCCATGACAGATCCGAAAGTGTGAAAAATGCCCGAAAGCTGACCTACATTTCCCTCATCTGTTGTTGGTATTCAGAAGGATCACAGTCAAACACAACCTTTGCAATTGATGAAAATTAAGTTGTTGCCGAGCACAAGGACTACAAGGTAGAAGAACGATTCTGAGCCTAATTTCATTATTACATGCTCTCATCCAAATTTGTTCACATTGCCCGTCTCCATTACAGAGCAGACGTTATAAAGCGCGTTGTGTAACAAGAATCTTCTCAAGATGAACAAAAATCTGTGGGGCCGCTGATGACGTTCACCACGATACTAAAATCTTAGCCCTAACACCAGATTCCGTTCTGAATGCATGCCAAAGATGAAAGTCTTGCTAATAATCGAACAAATCTTAAGTGTAATCCAAGGATCAAGCCGTGGATTTCGAGAAGGGTGACGAAGGTATGGAGCATTTAGCCGCGTTCAATTTCGCAAAAAGAAGAAGGAAAAAAAAAAAAAAAAACAAAACAAAACAAAACCACTACTCTGTAATTTTATCTCGAGGAAGCTTTTTCCTACCTCTCGGCAGCTCCTGAATTGGTTTAGGAAGGGTTGGCGCACTGGTGGTAGTTTCAACATTGGACCGAGAGGACCGCCGATAGGTCTTCAGTTCTGCAACAGGGGAAAGTTCGAGTTGACTCGGTTGATCCTTCGACTTCACACTCTCCAAATCGACAGCAACCGGCGTTGGGATGCCGTTACTTGAATTTGGTGGAAGCCGTCGTGCTCTCTTCTTTGGCTCTGCCTCAACCTCGGCGCTCACTTTTCCTGTTTTCTTCTTCGCCATCATTACCGCATCTCCCTTCTCTTCGACTCCGCTTCTCCTTTTTGGATTCGCTTTCTTGGGCTCTGCTGGCTGGGTGTTGGAAACGGATCCGTTGACACCAGAGACAAGACATGGGGGTGGCGAAAGATTACCCAATTCGCACACTCGCTGCCATTCATCCGGCGATACAGGCATGACCGAGAGGCGTGACTGGCGCAACAATATCCAATCCCGCAACTCTTCAACATTCTTGATTGCAGACAATGGAACAGGCTTGGGCAAGGCAGCGAGTGCACGCACATCCACCATACAGCTCTTGCCACTCTCGTCGGTATTGTCCGGGTATGCGACCTTCACGACCTCCACCACCCCAACTACGGAAGGACCTTTACCTGAGTGATAGAAAAAGGCGTGATCCCCTAGCTGCATGCTCCGAAGATGCTTCTGCGCCAGGGCATTGCGCACGCCATCCCAATTCGAGATCCCCCCGTTCTTTTCCTGATCTGCCCATCCCCACTCTCCTGGCTCCGTCTTCAGCAGCCAGTAGCCCATGCTCTCTTGAAACTCCCTCGCAACGTCACTTTCTCTTCTTAAAGCAGCTGGGGTGATGCTTATGGGCTTAGGATGCGTCCGAAAAAAAAATTCAAACCTAAAATTTGTCCGAAAAGGTTGGGAAATACGATGCTTCACCCTGAGAGAAGTACAGGAGATGAAACATCTGCTCTGACTAATAGACGTCATTGAGCGCCAGTAAAACTACACTCGCTTCTCTTAAGCTGCCAATGTTTGACGCAGCCGGTCCAATCTGACCTATCTACATCTAAGCGCCGCCAAAATTTTCGGTACGTATATGTGTTTTCAACATGATAAGTAATCGAAAATAGTTTGAACTGTACTTAACCGGAACGGATTATTATGCTCATGGAACAACAGTGTATTTCAAGGTAAACAACCAAATGTGTGCAGTCGGGTTACCTCGAAATACAGTTCAAGAAAAATGAAATTCCCGAATCTGTTTGAGATTACTGGACAAGTCACACATACATTTGCGACAATCATCTGGTCGATACGCAAGTGCAGTAATGATGCTTGCAAGATTATAGCCGGTAATGCATTACCATGGAATCAAAATTTAACAGTTGTGTACATGGGCGTTCTAAATGGGCAGCGATAACGAGGTTTTAAAACATTTCATGGGTCACTCATTACTACCATTACAGTGGTTGAGTTTCAAGCTGCCCATCGTCTACGTTTTATGGCAAAGTTTTCTTTCGATCTGCCGACTCCATTGCCAACAAGAGGGTTGACGTCACTTCTCTGGTCTGTCGAGACTTTCATGCTGTTGACATAAGTGTTGGATGGCATAGAAGTGACCACCTTCAAGCCAACTTGGGCAACTCTTCGTGGGCTGATAATTACCTTTCTCCTAAGTTTTGTTGGCTTGTTAAGCAGTACAGGGTTATCAACGCTCTTGGACGAGTGTCTCATTCCACCCTTCGAATTTGTTGCAGACGTGAAGGTCATACTGGCTCGCACTCGATTTGGACCCGGTTGAACGCCAGTTGCTGTTGATGTTCGGCTAGGGTCTGGCACAGCCAGAAAGCACATGTGGACTCAGAAACAATTTATCAAGTATTCCCCAAGTATGTCTAGCACACCTCAATTTAGGACCATCGAGTCACACCCTGGTGGCAAAGATATAAAGAGAGAAACCATCCTATAATGATGCTAGGTCTCAAGTACTAAAGACTTTACCTGCTCTTCTAGGTTTCGTAGTCATATTGTTGAAATTACTCGGCTTTAGAGTTTGTAATCTGTTCGTTGAATTTAACGAACTCTTGCTAACGTAAAGCTTGCGTTGGTCAGTCCGAATTTGATTCTCCTTGTCATCTAAGAGATCTGGGCCAGAGTCCTTAGCATCTGTAGAGTCTTCTTCTTCGTCGCTTGATGGAGATGGTGGTGTGCTACGTCGTTCATGATACAATTCATGGGCTAACGTGTTATCATCTGAAACCTCCACATGAGGTAGAGAAAGTTCAGCTTTACTAGAAGTTGTAACCTGAAGATCCTCAAAATGCCGAAGGACATGCCTATGCATAATCGGAGGTGAAAGGTCCTGTTCATGTGAGTCACTTGAGGCCACCTCGCATTCATTAATGAGAGCGGAGCTATTGTACATGAAGCTTCGCGGGCCTCGAAGCATGGCTGGCGATTGTAATGGATTGGATGCGTTAATCTATAAATCCAGCTCATTTGTTAGTATTGAGCAAACATTAGAAGCTGAAGGCGGTTGGCATAAAAAAATGGTACTCGAGACCGGGAAACCGAAACAGCAAGCAGAGTGGAACTTACTTTAGCTTGGAGGGCAAGCAGTTCCTGTTTAAGTTCAGAAATTTTGTAGTCCTTGAGCCTACACAGATCCTCTAAATTTGATATTCTCTGCATACCAGATAGAGCGATATATCTCAATTACTAGTGTACACAACATAAACGACTACTGCTGATTAGTCAGCCACGAAAAACGTAAAACAGCGTAGGCAGTAAATTAGAATAGAAATCTCATAGTATTTACATATCAAGGCTTAGAGATGGCGTGTAATGTGATGGGATAGCTGACAACCTATATACATAAAGTTCATTACATTCACTTTTATATCGTAAGGACATATATACAGCTTGGCAGAGGATCGTATAGAAGCACAAAAAACGTGACCCATCACAGAAGTTGTTGGCTTACATCTAAATTTTCAAGCTCGGTTGTCTGTGCAGCGGAAATAACTTCGTCAAGATGAGCGTCACTACGAAGGCATTCCTCACGCAATGCAGACAACTCTTGATCTTTCGCTGTGAGGACGATCTGCCAACCCCCATTACCACAAATCAGCCAAGCTTCAAGACACGCTCGTCAAGGAGCTCCCGAAGACTAAAAGCAGCATAACTCATACCATCGCACCTATGCAGTAGTTTTCTTAGCTTTTAATGGATAAGGCTGGAATGAGAAGATTTTTAGAGACCAGAGAATTAGCACATAATATACGTCCCAGAGATTCCGATACCTTCTGGTTTTGCTCAAGGTCCGCGATTTCGACGTCTTTCGAGTGGAGCTTCGATGTTAATTCCAAAAATTTAGCTTCTATTAACTGAATGTGTGATGTCATCTCCGCCACATCCAAGTGCATTTTGGCCTGCATATTAGAATATTTGTTTCACAGCTACTTAGTTCAGCCTAGAATAGAACAAATTCAACCCTGTGCCAGTTGGTTTCTAAACCGTTTTAGAATACACAACCTCATCAAAGAATTTGATCGACATGATGTAAGTACAGGCAGACATCTTGGGGAATACGGTGATGTCACTCATCTCTCCAAGTTAAAAAAGCCTACCTTTAAATTTCGCTCTAGGTCTGCGACTTCAAGTTCTTTCATCTTAGCATCATTAGTCAACTCTATTATTTTGTTTTCTTTTGCCTTCAGTTGTCGTGTAATTTCCCCAATTTCAGCTTGGATATGCTCCTGTCCAATTATTCAACATTAGTTACTTATCAAGTTCGGAGGGTAATGAAATCTAAGCTAGGCGGTCCTAACTCTTTCTCGTCCAGAAAGTAGAAAACATGAAACTGTACCTGTGAGCTATGAACACCAATCTACATCCATGGCATCGATGGTTTGGCAACTACGTTAATTCACCAAAGCCTGATGAGTTACCCAGTGATTTCGCTCCATTCTGGCGATTAGAATCTCTTTCGACTCTACCTCACTCGTCAATTCTGCAATTACTGATTCTTTCCTTTGAAGTTCTTGTCTCAGCTCGGCAAGATCCACTGCATTACCCTAGGCAATGTGCGCAGAAAATTAGTAAACACGATACAATCAGAATTCAGACGTGCCCTACAGTGGCTTCAGCAGGAGAAGAAACTAGGCCACAGAATACAGGTGCTGAAAGCTCCTAGCACCAATGGAACTGACGATCAGTGGCATAACTAAGAAAGCCATGACAAAAACATCTTACTACAGATTTCATACCTCATTAGTTTGCTCCAATGCGAATGTGACTACGTTAAACTGAGGAGGCTCTGTAAATTGGTCAGCAGGAGACTCATTCAGCTGCAGTCGCGCTTCCAACTCTACGACCTCGCAAGGAGGTTTTGCCTGCACGTGACAGAGGGGCACACGGCCAAGTCAGTATCTCACTATCAATTTTTTTAGAATGGACCTTAAAAATTACTTGTGGCTCATAATTATGTTGTAAAGGACCAAAGGGTCTCCTAAGATGCATTGCGAGGCTGATCAGCTTATTGAGATGGATTGATGGCGTGCCAGTGGAATTTCTGTCTACTACATATCTTGTGAGCTCTCAGTGAAATCTCGCTTGGAAATGCAGGTTGTCGTATACCAGTCAGTATAATTCTTCCACCAATAGTGAAGTAAGATGGGCTCCTATAGACTTGCTGATGTGCCCTGAGCAAGCATTCGCTACTTCCTAAACTTAGTCACATGTCGAGTAAATAACCTGATTCTCCACGTCCCGCTCTGTTTCATATCCGACGACATCATTCTGCAACCTTTTCAGTTGCATCTCCATGTCTACTACCTGCAGTAATTTTATCAGTCAATTAGCACGTGAAAGCATTTTCTCTCACGAAATATTCAATTCGGCCAGATAATATTCTGCTTCAAGGACAACACCAAAGCTTCGCAACTCAAGAATTTATAAGCAATCAAGTCGGGAGACGCACTTGAGCTGATGCGTTCTTCAACCACTCTGAGGGATTCTCCCAGCAACTCACGAACTTATCGAACGACTCTGACGAATTCTCTGAATGCAAATCACTGCACCGTCTATCGAATGCGACTTGTACCTCTTTTGCGGCAATTTCAAATGAACTGGAGGATTCTTCGGGAGCACAGGAATAGAGACTAGTGACTTCCTCTTCGGGTGATTCATCTTGCCCATTGTCTTCAGAGGACTTACACGTACTAAGTTGCTCAAAATTAGAAGCACATAAGCACAATGCTGCTACTCGATTAGATTGTTGTTCGGCATCTTGATCATTAAGATCATGCTCCTCCAAGAACTGTATCCAACCGAGAGCGTCTTCGGCACATTCTGACACAGCTGGATTCTTTCGCTGAAGGAAAATGCCAAACACATATCGTAAAGGAAAAAAATTCAGTCATTAACTTTATCAATTGCAGGAGCTTTGGCAATGTTACGAATGCATGAATAGAAGCAGATCATTTGAGACCTTTCTACGCACCTGTGTATTCTTTACGAGACAACTGTTGTATTCGGATGGAGAGAGACCAAGTGCCGCCAATGCTTGCGGTACCGTATCTCGCCAACATCCAGCAACCGCGGATAGCAACGCGGCAACTATAATTTTTACCTCGGTTGAACTAACACTTCGCTCTGATATGCATCTTGCTGCTTCCTTCTTCAAGGTCGTCATAACTTTCGTCTGCACCAAAACATGTAAGTTACGAGTCTACAAGCGCAGCTATGATCCCTTGAGCATACTAGTGGCATGGAATCAATTCTAAGTTCACATTCATTATGGATGCTAATGGAACTCCAAGCAGTAGACTTCCAGAATAAAGAATGAAGTAAACGATGGCGGTACCTTCAATTTGAGCATTGCACCAGCGCACTCTACTCGCAATGCAGACACTTCCTCATCTACACACGTGTTGTCTGAAACAGGTGTAACGGACTCCTTAGATAGTCGGCATGGGATGACCTACAGCCAAAGCCAGAGAGATTCGTAACTCAAGTGTAAGTCGCTGCAAGCCCGCATAAAGATGTCCCAAAACAACAAGGTGAAAATCAACCACCTAACCAGATGCCAATTAACACTTCTCATGGACGAGAATTTCAGTTCAGTGAGTTCCATGCGTATTCAATACCTTCAAGGGCGAGGCAGGCGTAACTTCTGCTAGAGGTGGCATTTTAAAGTCTGAATTCAACAAGTTCCTGGCCTTGAGTGATGAGTGAAAGGTCGTCCATTCATAAGACCCTCGAATCTCTCTAAGAGGAGTACATGCAGCGAATATCGAGTTGACTCTCTCAGGAGTACACATGTCGTAGTAGTCCTCTGCTGCATCGACCATAGGGTTAACATACCATTTCGCCTCGCTCTCAGCACATTTTTCGAGTGACGAAGTACTTCCATGCACCGAACGAAAATCGTATTCGTTGGTCAGCTCATATCTAGAAGGAGTCTCAACTATCAAATTATTGTTCTTAGCATCACCTCTAGATGAATAACTGTCCTCTGATACCATATCAAGTTTTAGGCCCAGGTCCAATTGTGTGCGTAACTTGATTCTCAATTCTATCGGATTGTTCACATCTGCTCGTTCTATGATTTCCACATTCACACTCTTGTCTGTGTCACCAAATTTCAAACACCCCTCGTCACCCACTTCGGGATGCTCAAGTTTCTTCAAGCCTTGAAAAGTCTCTCCAATTTTAGTAGGGAGACTGTTGCAATTTGTAATGGATTGGAAGCTTAACTGATCACTAAGCTGCTGCCTAAGGATAACGAGTTCCTTCTCCTGCACACAACATAGATCAATTACAACATTTACACCCATTCTGAAACGTTACGGCATAACACAGAACTAGCCCTTGTTTGTGGGACCAAGTATTCTTACAGAGGAGTACAAGTCAAATACAATCACTAGATGTAATCTATCTACAACAGGACGTGCCAAATAATTGACCAGTAAGTGTGAGCGGCACCTGCTCAGTCACCATCTTCAGCAAACTTTGAATCTCTACACTGTTCTTATCCTTGGCTGCTGAAGCGGCAGCCGCAGACAAAGCGACAATCAAAACGCGGTACATGGGTGCGAAATCCTCCCAAGCTTGGGCTTCCTCGGCTCCTAAGTCTCCTCCAATGTTGATCGCACTGGTAGCCAATTCCGCATTGACAAGGCGTCCGTCCAAAGAAATGTACGCAAATTTGCCGCTTGCATCGTCCGCGGTCAGCTTCTCGGGGACAACTCGCTGCCTACCAAAAGGCGAGAATGTAAATGAGGCTGGGGCTGCAATGTGCTTTCGAGTGACAACGTTTCGGTCTGTAGATGCTCGACGGGCCTCTCTAATCTCAGCTACTTTGGAATAGGGATGATGCCTCGAATTGTTCACAAGACCCACCATTTGCAGAGGGCCAGAACTTAGGCACCCTTCTCCGTATCCCTCCTTTCCATGGCCATCCCCTCGGGTCCCAGGTACATTCGCTGTTACTTTACCGAAAACACTTGCATCAAGGGATGAAGACCATATTGATTCTGATTGGGAGGCTTCACACAGCTCTTTCTGCTGGTCTGCAACAGTGATGAGAGTAGCCAACCCGGGAGCTCGAGGGTCATGAACCAGGTTAGCTTTCCTCCGACTTGTCATTCTTCGACGAGTCACCGCACACTGCATCATCTTGATCAGAGGAACACTACGCAACCAGTGATCAAATACCCAGTTTTTCCAATACTCGCCGATAAATTCTGTCATTGCATACTTGAAGATGGCAGCTGGTATTACAATTGGTTAAAATGTACCCACTAATCATTTTCGCGCTCTCAGAAAACGAATTCCTTACACTACCGCAATTGTTCGCGTGTTGGTTGGATTCATCAACCATCGCACATAAGAAATCTTGAGGCTTCACTCAAAGATCAGAAAAAAACTATTTGAATGCTACTAAGAGGTGACTGCAAAAATAATTAATCGTCTTTCGCAACTCTCCGTGAAGCAATCGCTCCTTACTCAGACGCAGAGGATCAAATCAACTCAAAAAGAAAGATAGGGCATCCATGTAAATTTCCTCAAGTCTACGGCATCATCCTGTCAATTACAATGTCAAGATAACTTCGCAATATCCTGCGCTGTATGTTGAGGTAGAGCACGATACAGTTAAGGGTGCACTGTGGAGGAACTCAGAGAAACTAAATTGAGGTCATTCGTCGTACGCAGCTCGCGTCTAGCCCCTGGAGTTGCGGGGAACAAGTAAAGAAATAGCCATGGGTCTGATCACTTCTCAAAACTTTATAGCGATCACAACAATGTAGGCAGCGGAGAAAGAGAAGGGGATTGGTTCAGTACTTATGTAACGCCTGAAAAATCTGGCCAGTAAACCTCCCCCTTCACAACCCTCAAATTTTCTCTCACGATTAGATTCCAATGCCAATGAAAAGCGAGGTTTCCATCTCCTGCTCAGACACCACCACCAGGTGAGCGATACGCGATGCTTTTTGGACAATTTCTCACTCTAGCCGCAATCGCTCAAACGTCCAGTAATGAAAACGGAATTACGATAAAAATCCTCGAGTCAAGTGCCCCGACGCCTGATGAAGAATCGAAATAGACAAATAAAATTCCAAGAATGCCAAGAACTCACAATGACGAGCTCATCCAGACGAACTCACAATTACTCTCTCTCACTCTCTTTCTCTCTCTCAGCCTCCAAATATCTGAATTCCACACAACAACAACCCCAAAAAGCACGCTCATCTCAAACTGCACATAAATTCCAAGCTCCAAAATGCAACTCTGGCATACAACGTAAACTACAGCAAACTACAACACACGAGCAGAGCACGAGCTCGCACGTCCTTGCACTCCCCGCCACCTCCAAAACGTCGCATCTCGCAGAGCTACAGTGCTACCCGAAGACTCATTCCCATCACCCTCTCCACGCACACCCACAATCACTGACGGCTCACCAACCCTCCGCGACGATCCCAGGATGTGGAATCATGCTCAAATGATCCAAACTGGGGACGCTGACCAGTACATTCACTCACTGCCTGAAGCACTCGAGCCGCCTGCAGAGCCAACCGCCTTGTCAAGCGACAACCGAATCCTCGCCCGTGAGCAAAAATAGACTCGTCACCGATCACAAACAGTACAAGCATCATCGACATGGCCTCGACGGCACACATGCACGCACGCCGGGCCCTGGAGAGTTCAAATTCGAGAGGATAATCGTCTCGAAATCTACGCCCTCACTTCGATCGTGGCCGTCCATTGAGGGCTTGTGACCGTTCGACGCGCCAGCACGTCAGCGGCAGGATTTTGGAGCCTTATTAAGCCGGGGCGGCAGTCGCGGGTTCGATTCCCTGCTCACGCTACCAGCCGGTTCATTAACTGTTTCTAGGGCGGGCCGTCGCGAGGAGCCTGAACAAGGCGGCGATTGGAGGACTGAGAAAACTTCTCAGTACAGCTCATGGGTGTGCGCTCCCTTGTCCTTCTTCCTTTGCTGTCACTTATACAGCACCCCAATTCCTCCCCCTTCTTTCACACTGTGATCATTTGTAAACGCACTGCTATCATGGGGGAGACGGAGGCTAGAAATGGCAACGCCCATATGATTCCTCAATCCTGATCCTCAGCTCCCTTCACCCAGATCTCATTTCGTACTCCCCCCCCCCACCCAAAATAAGTAAAAAAAGAGATGTTCCTCTGTTCAAGCTCTTCACCCTCTCTCTCTCTCTCTCTCTCTCTCTCTCTCTCAAGCTATGATGAGTTTTCGAACCCACCTTCTCAATCAGAAAATATTTTAGGAAAAGTGGGACCTTGATGAGTATGAAGTTGCATGTACCGTGGATGGAAATGAGGTGTTTTTTATTTTTTATTTTTCATTAATCAACGGAGGTAATAGTGGGATATGAGCTTGGGTTTTATCTTACAAAGATGTAGAATGTTTGTCCTTGTCCGTAACTGTAGTCATGGAAAACACTTCTTGTTGACTTCGGGTTCCCCCCCAGTTTCAAGGATGATTCGTGAGTAAACTCCACGTCGGTGCTTTTCGGGTGTTTTACTGTCTGACACATGCGTCATTAAATCAAAGTCTTCCACCTAGTCGGAGTCTAATTGGGGGACTATAAGTGCCCATTACTGCCTCGCCATTTATATCGCCTGGTTGTCGTCTTTGATGTTTGGAAGATGTTACAAATTTAAACGTCTTTTTGAAATCAAATTATGGGCATTCTGAGCCAACAGTCTTCTCTCTTGCTTCAATTGTGCCGCTCGCTTCTACGAAAAAGACTCCATTTTGGATCCCTGCTCATCTACAACAATCTTATTTTGTCATCAAAAGACACGATGACGCTCCGGCAAGCTCCTCCGCAGGGACGTGAGGTTTTTCAGCGAGGATGTGTAAACACCACACATCATGTCTGTGAATGATTGATAGTCCAATTCTTTGCACTCTTGCATGGTAGGCAAGAACACGATAACATTATATATTGCAGAAAGCAAACGTAAGGTATCAACCTAGAGTGGGACAATTAGGGTTAGGGTTTAATGCTGAACAAGAAATAGGATGACAACGTCAACGGTCTACACAGCAACGTTGAAGAGTCGACTAGCACATGCTCCTGTTTCACAGACTGCTTTGGAGGCACATCGATAGGCGGAACAAGCATAGCAAGAGGAGAGCTTAGAGCCTAAACTTGTCGCCACAGCTATCCAGATGGGGAGGCATGCAGACATTCACTCTTTACATGCTTCTTCAAGTGAGATTCCCCTAGAGGGACTCATTAGAAGCAGTCAAGGTTTTCTACTAACAAAATGGGTTATTAATGTGAACCTAAATGCAAATAAGGTGCAGCAAGAGATGGAATATTAATAGAAAAGAGTCATGGCAGTTTACTTTGTTGGAGGCAAGCAGTTCATTAAATCAATAGAAGAGTGGTTGGCTAGTGTCATAAAAGAACTTGCAGTAGAATTTAAGATATGTCGTAAATTAGGACATGGTTTTTTCAGGTGATCAGAAAGAACGAGGTGGCCATACAAAAACTTTTGATGCATATGAGTCATTAAATCAACTCATTGGTTGTTTTGGAACAAAAAGATGTATTTTGAGTGCCAAATTGCAATTATTAGGTGAAGGTTAGTGTAGAGGTTTCTAGATGAAGAAAAATCAGTGTTAATGCAAGAAATTGGCAATTATAATAACCTAGACAACATATAAGCCCTAAGGCTTAAAGTTAAATTCCTTCTCATGGAAGAAGAATTACATTGGTATTAATTTTTAGTTCTTAATTATTTTATTTATTTCTATTATTTTTTTAAAAAAATTCCTTCTTCTATTGGATAGATTTAAGTTTATATTTTCAAAAGAGAATACTAAATTTTAACATTCTTTTAACTTCTTAGAATTACTAGAATCTCTAAAATTAGAGGAATTATAATTTCTCAAAGTCCATGATCTTTTAGAAAATTTCAAGTTTAATTTGGTGATACAACTTTCACAAATTCTTTGATAAAATCGTAATGCCATTTGGTCACTAACTTTTGGTATTTAAATAATTAATTAGTTTTAAATCATAATTCTTTAAAACTACATAAGTATTGCATTTTGAGATGGATTTGAGTAAGTGAGGAGGCGATCTTGGAATAAAAGGTATTTTGAATACAATGGTAGCAATAGTTTTATCAAAAACATATATATTAGATAGTTATTAGAGTGTCTAGCCTTAAATTCGGATTTAAATTTAGAGAGCCTTGTAAACTATATACCTTCTTAAGATTCATGGAATCTCAATGATGGAGATGTGGCTACTATTCTTAGGGCTTCAAACACTTGTATAAAATGGTTGGATGGTTGAGCCTTCATTCTTCTTCTTGCTTTTGTTAAAAGGCAAAGCCATGCCAATTTTTCTCTAGATTTTTTAAGTAGCTTAGTTGTTCCAGTTTTTTTCTTTTAGTTTTTATAATTAATTTTTCAAATTTTTGATAGAAGTAGTACTTTTTATTGCAATTCTTTAGACATGTTTTTTTTTAAACTTTAGAGTTTTTATGAAGAAAAATCTTCTAATTTAATAAAGAGTGGTATTTTGCCTTGAAAGTTTAGAAGCTCTATTTAAGAAAGTTTTTCTTCATTGTTCACAAGCCATAAAGCAATAAGAGTTTTTTACTAGAAAATTGATGAAGTATAGTTTTTAAAAAGCTAAGAATCAATCATATTGGAGCGAATGTTATGATACTGTAGGGCCATAAATAAGACAAAACAAAATAGATTGGAAAATCAAATAATAAAAGCATATATAGGAGAGAGTTAAGAGTAGATTTTAATAAAATTTACCTCAAGAAGCCAAGAATTGATATTTGAAGAGGACCAATTGTCAACTAGGATCGAAATCAAATCCAAGGACACAAAATTGCACATCTATAGTGTCTCCAGGGTTCTTTTGTAGATCAAAGGGTGGAATTTGAGAGCAGACTTGAGAAGAGATTTTTGAATATTAGTTTTATGTCAATTTAAACAATATTGACTTTTTGAAGGATTTTCAAAGTTAGTAATATTCTTGATTGGTTTAAATTTTGAGTAATAAAATTATGTTTGTAAATTTGAAGGTTTCTTGAGTTCTATGGTGTTCATATAGATGAATTTTGTACAATATATTGGTATACTGTTTATAAACATGTATACAAATTTTGAAGTCAATCAAATGATTAGATCAAAGTGTGTGAAGGTTTTTGTCGGTTGAGATCTTAGAAATTGGATTTTGAGGGACAATAAGTATTTCTAAGATCTTTAACAATCTGCAAATTGGATTGAAAAAGATTTTTTTTTTATATAAATATTAGACTTGATTTTAAATGTTTAGGTAAAATTTGAAAGCAATTCAATAGTTCAAGAAGGAGGTATTAGTGCTGGAAGTTTAGCATTTAGGTTGGTATATGAGGCTATTCAATACTTGATTGGATTATCTTACATTTCTTTTAATTGGTAAGTACGATCAATATCATCTTTCTTGTGCTTCTTTTTAACTAAGACATTAAGAAGTATGAAAATTTTGAATTGATATGAATGGTTTGAATATTAATTATTGAGGTTCTATTTTGCTATAAGATTTGTTAAGAGTTTATTTAAGATCTAGGATTTGTTTAGAATCTGGTTTAGGATTTGATCTAGGATTTGATTAAAATTACGATTTTCTTAGGATTTAGTTTAGAACTTGTCTAAGATTTATTGAGGATTTAGGATTTCATTGGAATTTCATTAGGATTTGATCTAAGGATTGATTAAGATTCAATTAGATTTTCAATTAGGATTTGACCTAGGATTTGGTTAAAATTTAATTAGAATTTTAATTAAGTTTGTATTAGAATTTTTATTTTTATTAATTGATTAGGATTCTTTATATTTCTTTTGTGACTTCTTTTAAAATTTATTTCAATAGATTAAAGTTTGACTAAGTTATTAAAGATTATTTGAAGTTTATTTGAGGTTCTATTAGACTTAATAGAATTGTTGTTGTATTTTTACTTATCTTTTATAACTAGATACCTTTTGAATTTTTAAGCATGAATACACGAGAATATAGTAGGAGTATTGATTCTTTTGAAGAAGATATGCTTCTTTTAAATTCAAGTGGCTAAATAAAGGTACAACTTTGGAAGATAAAATGAGGAGGATTGAAGTAGCTTGAAGGCTCAAATTTTGAGAGAAGGTGTTATTTGGAATTGAAATTTTAAAAAGCTTAGATTTACTTAAAGGTAATCAAGGACCAAGTCATGGCATTTATTTTGATAGGAGACTATCTATTGCCTTGATGAATTCAAGCATCAATTTTGAAGGACAATATTAGAGTCATATAAGTATAGTTTAAGGCAAAATATACAAAATAGATGCATCTTTAAGTCTTCTTTCTAATAAGACTAATTGGATTCAATTTGAAGTTTGCAATGAGCTATTGTATATTAAATTGTAAAGGTGGGTGCATCAATAGGTTTAAAAGTACCAATTACCTTTGGTTCTTACTTAGATAATATTATAAGTCTATTAATTAACTATTATAGATTAATCATGTAGATGGAAATTAATAATAAAATTGAATCTTATTAGATGAAAAATTATGTGGATGAAAATTAGTCAAATTAGATAAATTTTGATGAATGAAAATTTATTTTAAGTAGATGAATTTTTATTTATGGATGAAAAATTATTCTTAGATGTAAACTCATTTATGGATGAGAAATTGTTTTAGATGAAGTTTTAATTTTGGATGATAATTATTACCAAAATAGAATAAAAATAAAAATCATATAAAATAAAAATAAAAATCATATAATTTTTTTCTTCAAATGTGAGGTCTATTGAATTTTTTAAGTAGTTGTATTATAATATAGTAAATGTGAAAATATGCCATTTGATCAATTAGGAAGCTTAATGATTTTTAAGTAAGAAATAAGAGGATTTTTTAGCTATTTAATTCATAAATAAGTAGTGATTGTGAGCTAGAGAAAACTTCCTATTGGAAGGTCTTATCTAACTCATAATTAAAGAATTATTGAAAG